TTTTTTCGCCTCTACCAAGATCCCAACATTCCATACGCACGAAGGACTGTGAAGAAGTTCGTTCTCCTGTCATCATTCCAGTTCTCATCAACCGGTGGCTGTCATTATCAGGCTCAACGAAACCCCATTGTAAGAGATGGCGTGGGCGAGATCATTCCTGGGACACCTCATTCGAACACAGAAAAACTCAACTAAGCATACATCTCCATCTCCAAGATGATCCTTCAGCCCAATCCCAAGCTCCCCCAGGCAATTCCTTCCACCCAGCCATGAGCGCGTGTGCCGACTTGGCGCTTCGGTGGCGAACCAAATGCCCGTCCCTGTCTTACCGGTGAAAATCTTATTGCATCCCGCTGCCTCGTATAGAGCAAAGCATACTACATTACACCAACTCACGCCCTTTTTTTTTTCCGGTCCAGAAAAAGAAAACAAAATCCTCCGTATGCAAGTGGCAGGGAATGTTGGCAATCCTCAGCCGCCGACTTTCGACCCAACCAAGATACAAGTAAACATCCAACCTCCTGCACCATGGTTCAGATCATGATCCCCGCATGGACGGACCCTGTCGGCGCAAAAGTTTGGTCGGATCGGTGGGGTTCTTTTACCCTCCCACCGTTTCTTTCACCAAGTCGGAGGGCGGCTGGCTCCGTGATTTAATTGCTACACGTTAATGCCGGTTACTGGATTCTTCGTTGCTGGGATCATGGATCAAAGGAGCACGTAAACGCGCTGCGAGTCAACAATTTCTTTGTGCGATAGCCGCCCACTGTATGCGCCATGTGGATTCGATGCATCATTGGTTACACATGACTACCAATAGTAGCAGATAGTATGCGCGATATATTTAGGTAAGAGTTGGTCCTGAGAAACCTGCATAGATCAGGTCAGGCACACCAAAACATAAACCAATAAAAGGGATGGATTAGTTACTATATGTTGTCCTATGACGTCGTCTGTCGCCTTCAGTACTTTTTCTTCCTAATTTACTCAAAATCTATACCACCTCAAAAGAGACCTATCTACTCAACACACAACTCCAGCTACACTCATCTACACAATCACAAAAATCACCAAGCATGTGATTCCAATAATTACTACTAATCACCTTCCAAACCCAGCAATAGTCAACCCCACAACAAACTATTAATCACATCACAAAAACTTGGCAAATTAAACCCATCATCCCATCATCATCAAAACACGAACCGGACCCATCGAAAAAGAATAATTTTCTACTACTATTCTTCACAGACCTTAGATCGTAAGTAGTACAAAGTACTACGTACTAGCTCCGGAAGCCCCGAAACGATTTCGGCAGTTTCGAGAATCATCAAGATTGAAATTGCGGGGGGTGGGTGTAGTTGGTCAGAGAAATCAATCTGAAACAGAGAAGGCGGCGGGAGATCGCGACTGTCAGCTAAGCGAAGGGGTTGATACTACTCCATAATCTCAATGAATTATATGATAAAGAGAAATTTATTATTATTCGATGGTCTGAAAATTGAGTCAGTAAATTAAATTATCAATTGACAGATGCAATAATATTGTTGCCTACCTAGTTGATAAATATTTGTTTTGTTGGCGGTGATATTAAGATTGCAGTGGATATGATATGGGTTGATAAAATTATTTATGATGATAATGAATACTACTCTACTATAATTGACTTTGGGGATAGGTGGGACAGTCTGTGTGTAACTACGATCGCAGTAATTTAACGTGCAGTAAAATCTGTTTAGTATTGTCTGACTACCTATTATGTGATATAATAATAATAATATAGAAGAATGTTGGCGATTACTATACGGATAGTAGTCCTAAGTCTTCAGTTGCAAAACGTTGTTGTTGACTGGGGCCGGGCTGGTTCGGGCCACAACCATCTGACAGTGGATACACAAGGGGATCATCATCGGTAATGAAGGTGGATCGAACTCCTGGCTTAGTCTTTGGAACATTGTCTAGACCCTTCTTGTTCTTCTTCTTCTGCCTTGTGCAGAGTTGTGTTGGGGATGCTGGCTAATGATTGATTGCCTTGGACCCTCATCTAAGCAAGTATGTTGCCACTTTACAGGGCGGGGAGTATTATTGAGGGAATTATTTGCCGCATATCGATGTCTAGACATTTTCTTTGCTAATAGATATCTTGCTAATTTGAGAAATGCTCACAGTTTGGTAGTTAAAGGAGGAAAATATTAGGAATGCCAAGCTGTGAGTGTCTAGAGATATGGCATGAGTTTTCCGAGATAAGTCCGTAGACAGGTTCAATTCCGTTCACTCTACACAATAAGTCTGTCTCTATGCAATCTATGGGAAATATACTAATAACGTATATACAATCTTACTTGATATCTTGGATTATGCTAGTTACCTCCACCGGTTGGGATAGTGGGATCTAGGATACGCGTTTAGCCAACACGATCTCACTTAATGCCGGAAAATACCACGACTTACTCGGATCTTCGGTGGTTCCATTATGGATTGCGGTCGTATCAATGCCCTGAAGATTATTAACAACATCCTGGTATGAATAAATGAGTGGCTCTCCACTTACCAATGTAATATACCCAAGGACTCCATCCCTATAATCCTGACCATCTAGTGGCTCCGTATCCATGATAGCCATGGCCCCCGCTGTTAATCAGACCACAGCATCAGCATCCCAACAGGAAATTAAACTGAAACCCAGATTTCATATATGCTTACTCAACGATTCCTCATAATAAACCCCATCCTCTGACACTGGTTTCCGCTGAATCTGGGTGTGATGGGAATACGGAGGGACTGCCATGATCTCTGTGGCCACATCTTCGTTGACAAACAACTGGGCCGTATTGACGGTTCTGCCTGCACCGATGGTGCCATTGCTGGTTATACTCCAGTTTGTGTGCACTTGCACGTGAATGTGAATGGCACGATTGGTCTGGGAATTTCATAGTCAGCTTGCTTGGGGTTGACTTTGTCATAGCTGAACCATGAGTGTGTGTGCATGCTCACATAAAACCCAGGGAATATCGAGGTGAAGCTGGTCACGCCTTTCTCATCGGTGGGCCACATGCCCCGAAGCCAGGTTGTATCGTCCGTTGCTAGGAACTTTTGTTGCCCTTTATGTCAGATATTTTCTGTGCCAGAGCCAGATTGACGGACTGAAAGGTGGGGAGGGATAGTATTACCGAGACATCACTCATGCCGCTATCTGCGTCAATTTGCGTACCAGTGCTTTCAAAGTACTGCTCAGGAAACGAGATATCTGGATTCAAGCTAGTGAAGGAACTATACGATCCAGTGGCGTTGCAGTGCTATACCAGGGTCAGAAGAATTTCATCTAGATACTCTTTTCCTTTCTTCTGTGCGAAGAATGGCGTAGAAGAGAATCATCAAGAAAGATGTGGTGTGGGGATGAACGCACCCAAACATCCACCAATGCATCCGTCAAGGGCTCGCAGGTATGGATATCCATGAGGCCAATGTCCATGACGAAGGGTACCCCAATTTGATCCTCTACAATATCCTGGCGCAGAGTCTGACTCCGCGGATAAACATAGGGTCCCGGGCTAGTTTCCGGCGTGAGAATGCAGGTGTCATTCTTCAAGAAATCGTACTCGGGAGCCTCAGCTGTGATAGTGTAAGTCGTGGTGCCAACATCGTCGGATAGCGAAAGTGCCCGTCGGCGCATTGCATGCCGGTTCCTCTTCATAAGGCCGACCGTGTCGGAGCACCTTTTTGCCACGGCTCCGCGCCGGGCCAACTGCACGGCATCGGGTTGGGAATGTGGTCCCGGATGGGCTGTTGCACAAGGCATGTTACCAACTTGCTTATCAAATGTTGTAATCTGGGGAACCACTGACCCTGCACAACGGTTGATAGTAAGAAGGTGGAGCCCAACAACAAGAACTTCATAATGGTGACAATGTTGCAGGTTGGGTTGGTACAGAAAATAGCCCTTGAGACTTTCCTACAGGGTTTTTAGTATCTTGCCTACGGGGGGTTACGATCTTGTTAATAGTAGTTATATATCCAGTGACACTTTGGTCCTAATTTTGAAGCTGGACGATCATTATCCCCATTGCGCAGTGGCAAGCATCAAGAAGAATGAGGATCCATGGAAGTTGGCATTCTGGAAGAGTTGATCTGCAAGGATCTCATGGGAAAGTAAACCCATGATCATGCCGATCATGCTACACGGTTCTTCATTGTGACACTCATGTCATATTCGGTTGCTTTCCTGTTTCTTATCACCCGCGTAGTGGCGCCTTGCATTCTCGAATGTAAAAGATGGGCTCTATCTGAACCTTAAGTGTTGGGAATCACTGCTTTCAATCGTCTCTTGTCACATCTGGTGCATGCATCGAGATCCTCCTGGGAAAGACCTAGGGCCACCATTGGCCATGCCATGCCTCTCTTAAAAGTTAGTATCTCCATTTGCGTATGATTGCCGCGTGTATAGCACATAAACGTATCCCGTCTTATCCCGTCTCTGTAATCGTTGCTGGCCCCGTGCATACCGTTCGTGACTGGCTTCGTGTTCAATAATCTGTGACTCTGATCCAACCCTCACACATGCCCTTTATCTCGTCTTTGAGCTAGAATGGTACGAATAGCGACCTGTTCTTCCAAATGCTCACTGTCGGGCTTGTATCATTTGGATCTTTTGGCAACTGCTTCGGGCTCGAAAGTCCCCTGAAAGTGCGCGGTCACAAAGGTCCCAGGTACTGATATTAAGTTTGATGCCGTCGTTATTTATGGATGTGAGATGCTTTATCCCTACACCAGGGCCATGTGATCTTTGAGCATCATAACCAAAAGGCCTTGGATGCAGAGATCGGAAACCTCGGAAGTTCCGCGAGGACCGTGGGGGGAAAGAAGTATATGCAGAAGACACCAACTAGAACTACGTTACGGGGCGATTCGATTAGTCAGGAAGCAACACACAACCACACCACCCAACCAACCCATCCTTCTTCATCCCCCCTTCATTCCTTGTTCATTCTTTACTACGACCCCTTGCTTCGATATGCGCCGTCCAATTCACGCAGGCCTGCTGTGCTGTCCCTATGGCACAGCGTGTCCGATCGCATGAATTCTATATGGTTGATGCCATGATGAGAGCAGTCGTCAACCCTGGTACAACTTCCACGAATTTTAATGATAATTCAGAGCAGATAAGCAACCCAAAAAAAGGGATCGCCGCATTCGGTAGTAGGTGGATGCATTCTGATCTGTGGGTCTTTGGTTTTTAACCCAGCTACCGTCTCTTCGTTGCCACAAGGCTGATAAGAGAAATGACTGAGGAATTGTACTCCGACCGCAATATCCGAGCCTATATATTTCAATCTTGGCCCTACAAGGAGTATTGTAATCAATATGAAGCAGCTCCAGATCTCTCTTGCCGGCACTCATGCACTGCAACTGGCTGAAACTGGTGTATGTGTTCTACTGGCCATCGGCTTGGGCTCTTTACAACCAGTCGACTGGTTTCCCCGAACAGGATATCGACAATGGTGTTGCATTGCAGCAGGTTGCCAATATTTCCCTGGGGAACATGAAGCTTGAGTCTCTGGCAACCAATGGCTGCCGCTTTGAAGACGCCCAAATCCGCAGAGAATGGTAGGTTCATCCTGCGCAAGACGCATCTGGCCCTTGCTATCGGTTAAGGCCACCATCTCACGTCCAGGGTAGGCGCAGCTTGTCTCTAGCTGCAAGGAAAGAATTCACCGATGCTATCGTCTGCTTGCAGAGTCTTCCTGCAAATATTTCGGCAGAAGAAAAGGAGACCTTCCAGGGAGTACAAACTCGGTATGATGAGTTCGTAGCTACCCATATAAATCTGACGGAACACATCCATGTGACGGTTGGTAAAAGTTCGTTGAAAAATAAAAAAGTCGAATCCATATCGCTGAAACGTTATCTTGTAGGCTGATTTTCTCGCCTGGCATCGGTTCTTTCTTTATGCATTTGAAAATGCGCTACGATTTGAGTGCAACTATACAGGCACTCTTCCCTACTGGGAATGGGGACTTGATGCGGAGAACCCCCAGAGCTCTGTCCTCTTCAATGGTGACCCATACAGTATGGGGACTAATGGGGTAGACATGAACCGAACAAGCATCTACTGGGAATCTCAAAACATGAGCATTCCAGCCGGGACTGGGGGTGGGTGCGTATATGGGGGTCCTTTCTCCAATTACACAGTGCACATGGGCCCTATTGATGCTCCTGGAGAGCAGCCAGTCCAATACAACTTGGAGTATAATCCGCGCTGCTTATCGCGAGATGTGAACCCCACCATCTCACAAATGTCAATCTCCTTCCGAAACACTACGAAACTGATCCTCTCGTACGATACGATTGATTGGTTCCAAGGCGTCATGCAAGCAGACCAACGCTTCACTGATCCCACAGCTCCTTTCAGTTACGGGGTTCATGGTGGAGGACATCTTACTGTTGGAAGCGTCTTGGCAGACATTGATACCAGCCCGGCCGAGCCGATGTTCTGGCTTCACCATGCACAGATCGACCGTGTCTGGACAATCTGGCAAGGACTAGATCCGGCGAAGAGAAGAAAAGCGATCTGGGGCACTTCAACCCGAGGCGATAACCCGCCTTCTGCAAACATGACGTTAGACGATGTGCTTGATTTTGGGTTTATTTCTCAACCGCTGAAGTTTGCCGATCTGATGAACCCTCTGTCTGGACCGTTCTGCTACTACTACGCATAGCCGATAAAGTTTAAATTTTTGGATCTTGGAAATAAGTAACATATAACGCCGACAGAAGTTAAATTTATCATCTTCGCTGGAAAAGAAAAACCGGGATAAGTCATTGATGTATGAAGCCGATCGGCCTGAAGTCAACTTCTACCGGCGCGTTGTCAACTCTAAGCAGACACCCATCGTTTGCGGCAGTTGCGGGGAGGCAAAGTGGATCATCAAGATCTCAATTCCCCAAAACATCACGGCAAGAAAATTGAATTGAATTGGGGTTACATCGACTGACGGCGCTCCCGATCCAATCTCCTTTCTACTGGAAAAGATTTCCTCAGCGATACATAATAATTTGTGTTACTCTTCAGATCCGGGCGCATCCAAGTCTATTCTTAGCGGCTACAATATGTAACTCTACAACTACAACCCCAGTCTGTCGCTTAATATAACCAGAGAAAAGAAAAAAAAAAAAAAAAAAAAAACCCCCAGCAACCAAGGTCTCAGATGCACAATCCGTCTGACACTAATTTCCCCGTCAACATGTCTTCGCGCATCGA